AGGGGTCAGGGGCGGATCCGAGAGGCGAGCTGGGGAAGGCTCCGCTGACAGATGTGCTCGCGGGTCTGGTGACGCCAGAGACCATCGCTGCGAAGGGGAGCGAATTGCTGCCTTTCCTGCGTGCAGCATCGCAGCACGTTGATACTTACTGCCAGTTCGTCGTGGACTCCGGCACGCAGAAGACTTTCAACGATGCTCTGAAAGGCACGGCTGTGGCCCGCAAGCTGAAAGAGGGTCAGCGAGCCCTGCTCTGGTACGACGTGAAGTGTGCCACGGAGTCTTCCTGTCAACCGCACCTTCGTGTCCCTAAGTTCACCGCGGATGACCTGAAACGCAAACTGCAGGCTTTCGTAAGCGCGCGAGACCAGGCAGGGGCACGCATGCAGAAGCAATTGGCTGCTGAGCGATTTGTCCCAGCCGGCCGCTGTTGTTTCGGAGGTGCAGTTGGAGGCAGGCGACATTGCAGTGGTCTTGGATGGGATGAAGCAGGTCACTCCGGGTCCCCGTGGCAGCACATCCGAAGGCAGTGTGCAGTGTAAGCCGTTGTCTGTCGTGCTTGCCTTTCCATTGGCCTGCTTAGGCATCATGGCGTGCTTCGTTTATGGAGACGGGTGGCACTACGACGAGAAGACACGGACTGAGATGCTGCTTACCTACGAGGAGCAGTCTCTGAGGGCCCGCCGCTGTCTGGTGCGCGGGGTCTTGCAGACCCACGAGAGCATGCACATCATGACCAAAGGGCCCTTAGTGCTCCAGAAACTGCCGCGTAAGATTTATGGCGGCACCAATCAGCAGACCTCCATCGGCCCGGTGAAAGTTCTTCCTTACGAAGACCCTGGGCTCTGGAAGCTCTCGGCGAAAGCGAAGAGCACACTCTACGGAGCCAAAGGCATCTCCTTGGCTGGCGGTCCTTGCCCGGTGTCGGATCCCCCACCGCTCCCAAAGCTGGCGAACGACCTGCTGCCCGTGAACTACCACAGCCTGCCGGATATCTTCTATGGGGAGTTCGCGCGAGGGGTTCAGGCCAGTGTCGTGATGAACGCGACAGAGGCCGACGGGGAGTTCGCGAAGGCCTGCCTGGCGCAGAAGACGTCGTACGTGGCCGTCGTCCACACCGAGGACCATGCCA